CCCCCCATTACATTAAGAAACTAGATGTAAAGGTTCTAAGGTTCTTCCCCTTAAATTGTCACTTAAAAATGTCAAATAACTATTACACATTCAATCCACCTTAACCAATTCCGCCAAGCATTCTGGGGGGCCCCCCCTCCCCCCCCCCCCCCCCCCCACACCGGCCTCTTAATCCTTTCTCTGCGGCATTTTTTTCAGAAGCTATTTCTGTGCGGCTTTTTTATGAACTAAAAAAACAAGGTCATTCAAATGAAATTATAAATAAAATAATAACGAGTTCTGAAAACAAAATCTAGATTCAATATTTTGACCGAGGTAGGCCGAGGATGGGGTATTTAACCCTAGTTCCCCCCCAAAAAAATCGTATAACAGAACGAAAACGGTTATTTGGTGGGTTGAGAGTATGGGTGTCTTAGGTAACTGCGCTGGTCCTTCGAGCCCAAGGGAGATATGCAAGACCTCGGACAACTTCCCTTCCTCACCGGGAGCCATCAATCTTCACGAAACTTAGGGAAGGAGGGAGCCAAATTTGAGCAAAAACATGACCGCCACCTGGTGGTAGACCAGGTCCCTAGAGGTTCCAGAGGGCTGCCAACCACGATGTTTCACTTTACTGAACCTGTCGACCAAAATTTTCATCATACTAAAGCTGTCAAAGAGTTCTTTCATCTTGCTGAAGCTGCCGACACAGTTCTTGATTCTTGCTGAAGCTGCCAACCAAGTTCTTTCAAGTTCAAGTATGTTTATTGAGACAAGAAAAAAATACATCTCAAAGGGATAGAGTAGCTTAGGCTATTTCTAGCCCCAAGTTCTTTCACCTTGCTGAAGCTGCCAACCAAGTTCTTTCACCTTGCTGAAGCTGTCAACCAAGTTTTTTTCATCTTATCCAAGCTGTCAAACAAACTGCTTCATCTTACTGAAGCCGTCAGCCCAACTTTTTCTTCTTATTAATGGAGCTGCCGACCCATTTTTTTTTTTGTCATACAGTACATATGAAAAGTTATTTAGTACCATAGCATACAGAAGCCTGGTTGATATTCTACCAAAGGATTTCGGGGTTTAATAAAGAAAAAAAAACTGTTTGGGTCAGGAAACTATATATTTATATATAGCGGGTTGACAAGCATATATACTCTAGGCTTTGTTGACCAGAAGTCAGATATAGGGTCAATATATGAGTGTGTGAAAGGTATTAAGGAACACTATACACTATTCCACAAGAAATGGGTTGCTACAGGTCAACATTTGCAGCATTCAAATTTGGTATATTTTAACTTCAGGCTTTTTTTTTGAGTATCACTCAAATTATCTTTACAAAACATTGAATCCAAAGTGTTCTCGTATTTCTTGGATAATTTATTTTCTTATTTAGATACTTATTGGCTAATATTTTCTATGTACAGGTATTGTTTATCAATATATAAAATGTTAATTACCACAATATAATAATTGGTAAAGGTGACGAAATTCTGAAGCTCTAATTAAAACACATTCCCTTATTGAGGTAAAAAAAAATAGTTAAAAAAATATTTATATTTAGCAATAAGTAAATTTCTTAGGTAGCATATGGATTTACATATTTCAAAAAATTTAATGAGTTAAATAATCGAGCGTTCTTTTCATGCAAATCCAAATATAAAACAAATGCAGGGATATGTAGTATTGGTTAAAAAAAAAAAAAGGGTTTCTAAAATTCGCAAATATCACAGTACCCATTTTCTTACATGCGCTTTTGTAAGGGGAGACTTACCGCTTTTGAGTAACGTGAGTCTCACAATTACTCGGGTAAAATTTATGCAATTTTTTTTTTCATGCGCTTTTGAATAATTGACTTACCGCCTGTGAGTAATGCAGGTCCAGTGAGCGTCGGGGTCGTGTTGGCTGGGTGGTGAGTAAGATGGCAACCGTTTATTACAGGCACCCTCATGTTTATTGCACTCACCCCTCATGTTAATTACTCACCCCTCTCATTTATTCACCCTTCATGTTTATTGCACTCACCCCTCATGTTTATTGCACTCATCCCTCATGTTTATTGCACTCACCCCTCATACATATTACACTCACCCCTCATGTTTATTGCACTCATCCCTCTCATGTTAATTACTCACCCCTCTCATGTTAATTACTCACCCCTCTCATTTATTCACCCTTCATGTTTATTGCACTCACCCCTCATGTTTATTGCACTCACCCCTCATGTTTATTGCACTCACCCCTCATGTTTATTACTCATCCCTCATGTTTATTGCACTCACCCCTCATACATATTACACTCACCCCTCATACATATTACACTCACCCCTCATACATATTACACTCACCCCTCATACATATTACACTCACCCCTCATACATATTACACTCACCCCTCATACATATTACACTCACCCCTCATACATATTACACTCACCCCGTCATACATATTACACTCACCCCTCATACATATTACACTCACCCCGTCATACATATTACACTCACCCCATCATACATATTACACTCACCCCTCATACATATTACACTCACCCCGTCATACATATTACACTCACCCCGTCATACATATTACACTCACCCCTCATACATATTACACTCACCCCGTCATACATATTACACTCACCCCTCATACACATTACACTCACCCCTCATACATATTACACTCACCCCCTCATACATATTACACTCACCCTCATACATATTACACTCACCCCTCATACATATTACACTCACCCCCTCATACATATTACACTCACCCCGTCATACATATTACACTCACCCCTCATACACATTACACTCACCCCGTCATACATATTACACTCACCCCGTCATACATATTACACTCACCCCTCATACACATTACACTCACCCCGTCATACATATTACACTCACCCCGTCATACATATTACACTCACCCCTCATACACATTACACTCACCCCGTCATACATATTACACTCACCCCTAATAATGATCACAGTAACAACCAGATGGACCTGGCAACAAGGGTACACAGTAAGAGATCCACAATACTACATCTGTTCCATAAACGTTATTAAGGCCGAGGGATAAACAGGCAGATTATAGTTATAATCTGCTATAGTTTGAACAAGGGGGACATAATTTGGATCCCTTTTCAGTATAGGCCTATTGTGCAGTATAGTGTACGACCCATCCTCTCCATGTGTCACAACGTCACAAAAAATGGTGTACTAAATGGCCTGACTCTAATTTAACCTAATTGATGGACCTACTCATGTTGTTCTTAAAAAATCATCACAATGGATCTGATTAGCGTAATTGAGTATAGTTCGTTTGTGAGGGGGTTTTGAAATGCCTTATTCAGGGTGACTAAAATCCAATATACTAATATTCAGGGCAATAATTATTATTATCTTAAATATTAATATAATTCCGGGTTTAGACACCCTAATTAATTCTACAATATCGCCAAAAAATTATAATATATTACTTTTAATGTTTAATACACACAATACAAAAATTCTTGTAGATGTTTATTCCACAGAAAATATATACAAAAGCAGGTTATATTTTCAATAGTATGGATTTGCTGTGGAAATTGGCACGATTAGTAATGCTGTGTTGCACCAGATGAGGTGGGACCTTGTGAGTGGTTATACCGAGTATATTATACTCAGTTACTACACCAAATAACCCTGTAACAAGTTCCTTTGTATATTTTATAAATATTAATATTATTGTTAAAAATGTTAATGGTTATCTTAAAATGCATCATTCCAATAACAAATTCTAAAATATATAATTTACAGATACATTCAGTCACAGTTATGACGGTGTTTGAGTTGTAAAGGCATTGGCCGTATTAGTATTTTGACACCCAATCATGTGTCTTCTTCTTACATCAATTATTGCACTGATCAATTTTCAAGTTGTATACAAAAAGAGTACTAACATGTTTTAAATGTTCTTAAACGAATTGTAACGTAAACGCGTGTCCTCTGCGGAGTCTGGATAAATGGGTTAATTAACTAGTTTGAAGTAATTATTGGCCCGATATGCAGCCTAAAATATCAATTTACTTTCTCTCGGCTAAATTTTTGAGCGCATGTTTTGTGTTTAGCGTCTCCAGTTGTAGACAGGAATTTGGTTCTCCAGCTCTCTCAACTGAAAGGTACGAGTGTTTCCATCTAGAGACACAACCAATGACTTGCCTCAACCTGTCTACCCACTTATATTAAACGTTGTATGCGAGGCAGATCTGGAAGAACATACACTCTACCCACATTTCAGGCCATATCGGGAGCAGAATTTTTGTTGGCGATAAAAAAAAGTGTAATTTTGTAGCAAATAAATAAAATATGTACAATTGACTCTCTAATCTGTCCGTGAAAACCTGTGGTTCAAACCAACGCAGTAAATATATTCAGATTAATTAAAAGACTAATTAATTAAAAAAAAACGTTTGAAACCTATATACGTAGGTTTCCATAGCACTTCAACTAGCTTTTGAAAATTTGGCTCAGTGAAAGGGCCAGTTTTGCTCTGAACTTTATATGCGATCAAATCTCCCTAAATACTGAATAAAACTTTTAAAAAATTCGACTTTGAATAACAATGAAAGGGCCTTTATGAACAAATGCATTAATTCTGTTAACCCAATAAAACAAGATACGTAATGCCGTATGACAGGACTGTGAGTAGCCAGATAGGGCGAGGGTCTGGTACCACCAGTATTTTGTCAGTGCCATATCATGTTCCAAGGGTCACTGGAGAAAACCTCAATCCAGCTCACAATGTAGGTCTTTAATGAAAACTCAAAAGCATTTTCAAGCTCTATCTTGGAATTCCAGGTGAGCGCCAACAGTGGGTTTGGAACAGCTTTAAGTTTTGAAGAATGAACCTATCTCAAGTAATCTGGTCTGGGCTGAGTTTCTCCAATGTCCCCGCTACGTCTGATATGACCCCTGCATGGATGCCTTCAAACTATTGTGCCGGTGCCAAGATGTGGTCTTCCTTTACGTGTCACATTTCTGCCACATGTCATAGAAGGACTCAGAAGGGGGCAAACGAATATACCCCTAAAAAAATTAAAACCTCTATCCAAAAAATTTTAGAGTGACAAATGATAATTTAAGAATGTATATGTGACCATATCTATAAGTATCAGTTTAATAGTGTTAACAAAACAAGTGTCAATTTTTGTTTAATTAGGCAGTAATTTCGGCCTGGGAAGTCAATGTAATTTAAATAATCCACGACTTAATATAGAAAATGATAGTAGCTGGTACACTATGAATTACTTGTGCAGGTATAGAGAGTTCACAACTATATTAAATTACTGCACTAGTGTACCACAACATACGGTTGAGGTTTATATTATAGAGAGCTCGATATGAACATCATCCACAACAACACGTGTCTGATACTGAAACTTTTGAGGTGAACTTTAAATTACGTTATGTGCACACTCCTGTTTGAACATACTAAGAAGGTTAGGTGAGGTCGCTGTTTTCTATGAAGCTTTTCAAGGTAAACTAAAATATTCACAATCAATTAGTATGTCACATATGCACTTATTAAATAAGCCAATATTGACAGTAAGCAAGTGCGAGAACGGGTTGCCTGTTTAGTCTTACCGCGGCCCTGTTTCCCACACTTCATAACATTGAATTACCAATTCAGGATATATAACCGTACGTCTTGAAAGTATAATACTTGCCTCAGGAGGAAGGATTCAATATTACAATTTCATATTCACAATTTTGGTATTTCTAATTTCTTCAATATTACAATTTTTTACTCAAAAACTAACATTTCTTAAATCACTAAAGTTTCACTTGTATGGCAGCATAAACTTTGTTTACGAAACTTAAGCTAAAAAAAGGAAGTATACACATTTTACCAACATTCATTACCAATTCACAGAAGAGGTTGACCGTGGAACAGGTAAACAATTCGTGTTGTCTGAGAGACAAACACGACACTTCAAGTCATACAAACAAGTGAAAACATTTGACCAACGCATTCATCAGTAACTCAACACACACACACACACACACTTCCTGGAAATTGACACCAGCTAAGAATTTACTGTATAACTCATTTCTCTTTCTTAAATTGATACTAAAAACTGAAATTTTCAGAAAGACTGAACGTTTAAGAGCATGTTCTGCGAAGTGAAAATTTTAATTCATTTAGTATACTGTACTTCTAAAAAAAAAATTGCATGCATTTTTTAGAATATTGCGAATTCTAAAAGGTCAGCTCCAGCCACACACACATATATATATATATATATATATATATATATATATATATATATATATATATATATATATATATATATATATATATATATATATATATATGTCGTACCTAATAGCCAGAACGCACTTCTCAGCCTACTATTCAAGGCCCGATTTGCCTAATAAGCCAAGTTTTCATGAATTAATGTTTTTTCGTCTACCTAACCTACCTAACCTAACCTAACCTAGCTTTTTTTGGCTACCTAACCTAACCTTACCTATAAATAAAGGTTAGGTTAGGTTAGGTAGGGTTGGTTAGGTTCGGTCATATATCTACGTTAATTTTAACTCCAATAAAAAAAAATTGACCTCATACATAGAGAAAAGGGTTGCTTTATCATTTCATAAGAAAAAAATTATAGTAAATATATTAATTCAGGAAAACTTGGCTTATTAGGCAAATCGGGCCTTGAATAGTAGGCTGAGAAGTGAGTTCTGGCTACTAGGTACGACATATATATATATATATATATATATATATATATATATATATATATATATATATCAGCAGTCACTCTTAGAAACATACTGACATAAATTGAGCCTTCTAAAATTAGCCTAGCATGTATTAAAGTTTTATCTAATAAAATTGTAATTACATAAATTAACCTTTCACTAACAAATGCAGATATACAAAGTCAATATATTCTTACAGCCGCATTAACAACCAAGCTAATTTAAAGAAAAAATCTAACTGACGTGTTTAAATTAACTACTGTGCCATTAAGAAATGCTTATTTTTTTTTTATAAATTTGCAAAGCATTTAGGTATTAATTTTAAGATATACTACAGCAGCTAAAGCCTATTATCATCCTAAATTATCAAATTTGTAAATTGATAAACTACACCAGGGTTTTCCTACACTATTTAAAGTACACAATATTAAATCAAACGAAGCATTTCTACTTAACCAAAACAAAGTAATGCACTATATCTATGTATAAGTTCATCTAGTTTTCAAATAACAAAACCTATAATTATCTTATACAAAGTAAACATACACTAAAAAAAAAATGTAAATGTAAATTAATATAATAACAATTAAACTTTGCATGGCCTCACTTCATGAGACGGTCGTGTGGATATCACACAATTACACAAAGGTGTAAAAGAACAAAATACGATATGGACAAAGCAAATGATTTGAATGTTAGCAAACAGATACCCCCTGGATAAGCTTGAGCTCCTCATGCACAATCATTTGTATGTGTACGGCAGCTAACTCGCTAAACTAACTAATTAGCCAACTAACTAGGAGGTCCTTCACTGCCTGACGTGACTCTATAATCCCCGGCGAGGAGTTAAAAATTACTTACAGTTGGTGGGGAGAGATTGATGCAGGTGGACCCGCGTCGCTCTGGCCCGATACTCGAGTGTCGCCTGATGGGCAGGGAGCCGGTCGAGGTCTCGCCAGGGGACGAGGCTGAGGAGTTATACCCTATGCGTATCTTCGGAGGCATCATTAACTCGTTGTCTGACAGCCGACGGCCGATGGTTGCGGATTGGACTCGAAGTAGATGGGAATCCGGCGACGAGGGTCCTGAAGGATTGGCCAAGTAGAGGGGCAATATTGTTAATATCAGGAGACTCACTGAATTTGTGCGCCCCTTGAGGGACTTGAAGTAGAGGGGGGTAGAAATAGCCTAAGCTACTCTATCCCTTTGAGATGTATTTATTGCTTATCTCAATAAACATACTTGAACTTGAACAGGAGACTTTGAGTTTTATTTTGCATGAAAACTGATTTAACTTGTAAATATAAGATAAATTCCGTTATTAGTTATATTTAAATTTTAAGCAATAATTACTTTATTTCATTAAATACATACGTAATTGTCAATATTTAATTTAATTATGCAATTTCAAAGAAATAAATTAGTTATGAATTTTCCAATAATAATTTTATAGAAACTAGAAATATAATTTACAGAATGCAATAAATGGGTTGAAAACAAATATACACTATAAGGAAAGTGAGAATACGATAAGAGGTAAACTCCTTGTCATCAAAAACAGCTGTCTTCAAGAATCATGTCGCACGATGCAGTGTGAAACATAGAGAGTATATACAAAATATAAACGTTATGACACATTGAAATCAAAGAAACATTAACAAATGTTGCTGAGCAAAAAACATTGTTCTTACAATACAATTAACATAAAAAACAATTCTCAATCAAAATACTTTTCTAATCCACAGACACAAAAAAAGCTTTTAAATATTGAAATTCTTATAAGTATGGCAATAGTAGCTTTATTATATCCATATTACTGTACTGTATAATGAACTACTTATTATACTTATAAGTAGTTGCTACTAGCAACTAGCTACTTATTAGGATTGTAAGTATGGCAGTGATGGAGTCATGGGGGTGAAATGCGCAATCACCAAATCCTCGTTGTGTATGATATGTGTGATCCATTCCCTTGTTGTTTAGGAAACTTTACTCAAATGTTCTTATGACATATTATTTATAATTGTCGCGGAGATGCTAAGGGGGGGGGGAGTTCAAGGTGGTGGCGTGTGGTGGGGAGGAATGGGTGGCGTGTGTGCGTGTGGTGGGGAGGAATGGGTGGCGTGTGCGTGTGGTGGGAGGAATGGGTGGAGTGTGCGAGTGTGGTGGGGAGGAATGGGTTAGTGAAAGAACGTATTGCTTAGGGATGTTGATTAGGGATTGGTTATAGGGATTATGAAGGGATATAAACAAACTTTAAATGTACCCCCATTGCCAAAACTTCAGATCAGATGTTAATCGACCTTTGAGTTATCAACGTTGACCTTCAGTTATCTAAGCAGTCATCAACATGTGTCTAGCTGACAGGTGGTCATCTTTGAAACTACTGACGCGACCCAACAAGACACACTCTACCTGCCAGCCCGCTGGTTCAGTGCCTCTAAAGCATTATAATATTACCTTACGGGACTAGGGGTAGAAATAGCCTAAGCTACTCTATTCTTTTAAGATGTACTTCCTTTTCTCAATAAACTTACTTGAACCTCATGGTATATTTAAGTTGCTGGCTTAATGATTATATTATATCAACATTACTTACAACACATATTGGAGTAACCAATTTTATTTTAGACTAATTTTGCAACCTGTCCGTTACATAAGCCTACTTCGAAGTATTGTATAATTCCCAATATTTTTCTATATTTTCTCTAACTACTTTTTTATGCCAAAACTATAATTTAACTTAAAAGATATACACAATAATTACTGGCTACTTGAGTGACTTATCAGTCTATCGATAGAATACATATTACCTTCATCACCCACGAGCATTCTGTAACTTGAATTATAACAATGACTGCAAACAATGCATTAAAAAAGAGCCCGAGTCAACAGCTGTAGCCAAAGACTGAAGCCAACAGCTGTGGCCAAAGACTGAAGTTAACAGCTGTAGCCAAAGACTGAAGCCAACAACTGTAGCCAAAGACTGAAGCCAACAGCTGTAGCCAAAGACTGAAGCCAACAACTGTAGCCAAAGACTGAAGCCAACAGCTGTAGTCAAAGACTGAAGCCAACAGCTGTAGCCAAAGACTGAAGCCAACAGCTGTAGCCAAAGACTGAAGCCAACAGCTGTAGCCAAAGACTGAAGCCAACAGCTGTGGCCAACAGCTGTAGCCTGGAAGCCACTGATAACAGGCTACACCTGTACGAGAACACTATACATGTCAGCAGAAACAGCAACACAGATGTTTAACACAAGGCTTCACGAACCATCCTGTGAAGAGTGAGAGAAATACATTACACAGTTCCACACATTCCACAGTTCCAACAGTCACAGTGCACGTGCAGCAGAACAGTTATTGTGGGATAAAACAAGGACAAAATATAATAATAATAAAGTTTGCTGTTGATGTGTACAAATTACTTTGCAACATGAAAGCAGGTACTCCGTTTTTTTTGTGATTTTTTTCTCGCTCGCTAATATTTTATGCATTTGTTGCATAAATGTTTGAACAATACTCATAAATGTATGATACAGAATGCTCTTGTTGTCAAATATGCCCCATTTATATTTGATGAATATAAACTTATTTATAATCATATTTACATTTATATTTATATATTTATTGATGTGAGCAGAATTCTGCTTACTGGTTCAGCCTACTATCATGTAAACAAAGAACATTTTGATCATGGTAGTGTTAAGAATGCAACACTAACACAAGCAAACTAACATACTACACAAATAACAAAAGAAAGTGTCCAAAGATTAATGTTAATTTCATTGCAAATTTGTGGAAAGTCTTAATTTGACTAACGATTATAGTGAGTTTAAAATTATAACTTTGGTAAGTTAACCATTATATTATCGGTAGCGAATTGTGAGATTTATTGTCTTGGGACAGTTATACATAATTGTTAGTCAATACATTAAATCCCAAATGGTAAATCCCGGTCATTTTCGGTAAGGATTTTGGTCCCGTTCATGTATAATATATATACTGCATCACAGGCGGTGGCAGATTAGTCATGAATTGAAAAATAATCAATTAACCCTTGATTATACATGATATAATAGACTTAAGAAGGAATATAACTTCACGATTAAACGTTTTAAAATTGTTTGGATCTATAGAGTACCCGATTTAATGATTGTTCAGCCATGAAATAACCAGTTTAATGAGTTGTGGAGACGTAGGGGAGGCACAGCCCAGGTGTGAAGGACCCTGATCACTTTGTACAAAGGAAACTGATGGGAAATAATATGGTAGGAGAGACGTCACGCGAGGGAGACATGATGCTGATTCTTACTATAAGAGAAACGTAATTTTTATTGAAAGGATACTGCTTTTTTATATAAGTGAGACACTGCCCTATTTTGATGAAGGCCAGTAGCCTATTTCAGAGGACACTGTTCAATGAACAAATCCACAAGGGCCGTGACGAGGATTCGAACTCGTCACGGTCCTTGTGGATTTGTTCATTTGATGTATCACGCTATTGTGATTTCTGTGAGACACTGTTCAATGTTGAGAGCAATTTCTTATTTTGGAGAATAATGTGCACAAAATTGGAGGGGCAATGCCAAATTTGAGGAGTTTCAAGCGTAATTTTGGGTGACAAAAGGCCCACTTTATCGAAATAATGGCTAATTTGGGTAAGGTTAATTCGTCTTACTTCCATAATATAAGACAGAGGAACCATTACGACTTGCTGCAGGTCCTCCAGCTAAGTGAAAATGTAATTATTGTCCCGGCTGAAGCCAAGTTAGAGGTAGCCTCGCCCTTGGTTTATAAATATAAGATTCGGTCATCAATGATTTTGTCCCAACAAACGTCATCCCTTATGGCGATTGCTTGAGTATTTACTCCCTACACGTCCTTTAAAAACTCATAAAACATATAATACAAACACATGAAAAAAACTGCAAAAATATGATGGCCAGGAATATACAAACATCAATGTGCTGTACTGATTTTAAAATTAGAAGTGCTATCATTCAAGAAAGTAAATATCATGAAAGATACACGCAAAATAACCACAAAACAGCAAGATAGCAACATATTACTAACAACTGCAGTATCTACACACGACACACCCAAGGGAAGGGAATTTTCAGGGGAAAGTGCCAAGCCATGACGACTATATAACACTGGGAAGGGGTCAGGATAAGGATTTGGGATGGGACGGAGGGAAGGAATGGCGCCCAACCACTTGGACGGTTGGGGATTTTTTGCATTGGACGGTCGGTATTTTTGTATTGTTCCTACAATATACAATAATATAAATATTTTTGTATTGTTCCTACAATATACAATAATATAAATATTTTTGTATTGTTCCTACAATATACAATAATATAAATAATGTAAGTACAACATTATGATTGCTAAAATATTTCGACTGTATATTTGATCCATACTGTATTAAATCCGTGATTCATCTGTTAGCTGTATTAACTTGTATGTTGTACTAGAGCATAATGAACCGATATATCTACATCAAATACTGAAACTATAGTAGACCTACTGTTGAAATTGTGTATGCAGGCCTACTGTATTTTCTGAGCCAAGTATGTACTCTTTAAATCGTTTACAATATTACTTTCGACCGATAATTTTCGTATGTACTGAACGATTATTGTTTGCCTTTATCTATGATTGGTTTCGCGAGTTTTCCAACTTCTACTGTCTGGCCTGGATTACCTTGGTGAGAGAGGATATCTGTGTCAGCAGCCTACAGGCGTACGTACGTCACAACCTGACTGAGGAGCCGGTGGCTGAGCGGACAGAACACTGGACGCGTGATCCCGGGTTCGATCCCGGGCGCCGGCGACAAACAATGGGCAGAGTTTCTTTCACCCTGATGCCCCTGTTACCTAGCAGTAAATAGGTACCTGAGAGTTAGTCAGCTGTCACGGGCTGCTTCCTGGGGGTGGAGGCCTGGTCGAGGACCGGGCCGCTGGGGCACTAAGCCCCGAAATCATCTCAAGAAGATCTGGTAGCTCCTACAGACACTTGTCACGAGGGATCGAGATAAGTTTCTTTCGTGCTTGTTCCAGCAAATATTTCTGGATATATATTGGCAGGAAAGAGATTAAGAGAAAAATGTAAAATTTTGGGAATAATCCCCTTTTTAGGGGGTACAGTACCAAATTTAGGGAGGACAAACCTAATTATGAGGGGACGTTAGGTCGCAACCCGTCCTCGCAAATTCGTATAGTCAATATTGACTTATTAAATATGTGCAAGGTGACATACTTAACATAATAGTTTCCCTTGAAAAGCTTCATAGAAAACACCGACCTTACCTAACCTACTTAGTATGTTAAGATAAGCATCTTATTGCTTTGTAATTACAATTATTACCTAACCTATACCTATAATAGGTTAAGTAACAATTGTAATTACGAAGCTATAAGATGCTTATTTTAACATACTAAGTAGGTTAGGTAAGGTCGGTGTTTTCTATGAAGCTTTTCAAGGGAAACTATTATGTTTAGTATGTCACCTATGCACGTAACTAATAAGTCAATATTGACTATACGAATTTGCGAGGACGGGTTGTAGGTCGACTGACATTATTATTCCATTCAATGAGATCTGCCTCTCTTGTATTCTGCATTTGTTTCCATATCGGAGTAACTGGAATTTGCCACCTTTAAACATCATGATATTTTCTGTTTCGTACTAAAAGGCTCTGTTGGTATCTGATTTAAATTTTTGTCTTTCGCAGAAACCCTTCTCCTCTTGAACTGGTTTTGTTAGCAAGGCATGACACAAAACTATGGGATGCATTCCTATGATGTCTTATGTGTAACGGTGAATCGTAGAGCTTCGTACCGTACCTGGCGGGCACGAGGGCTTCGTACCGTACCTGGCGTATATTAAATACATCTCGTCATTTGGGCTGGATGGTAGAGCGACGGTCTCGCTTCATGCAGGTCGGCGTTCAATTCCCGACCGTCCAAGTGGTTGGGTACCATTCCTTCCCTTCATCCAATATTATATCCTTCTCCTCATACACCTTCCAAGTGCTATATAGTCGTAATGGCTTAGTGCTTTCGTCTTTATATTACTAACTACTCGGCCAGTGGAGCTATATCTGCTGTAAATACTGCCTGTGGGAGGTCACCTCTTCACCTGATTTATATATATATATATATATATATATATATATATATATATATATATATATATATATATATATATATATATATATATATATGCGCAATCTCGCATTAAAGTATATTATTTAAGCTTGTATTTATTAGTTTAATACTCGTACCTTCAGCCCCCTAACATAACTAGATTGACTTTTTCAAAAAATGTATATTTTAAGTCAGCTTCTCATACAATGAACAATAATTATACGTAACCCACGATCATGTATACATTTCGTCTATGAAATCATATATAATTTGGTATATGTTTGTAATTAAACAAATCATTTATAAAACAGATTGTCTTATTTTTCACTTTCAGGTTTCGAAAATATTTATTGATATTTTCCCATTCTGATAGTTTAATCATCAACCTACCAACGCCTGTGATATGTCATGTTATTGAGTACATTTTTACTGTATTAAAATATAAAATATTTGATCGTGAAATAAACTTGAGAACGCGCATGCAACAGGACGAAAATCTTAAGAGTGCCATTTTAAGGACAATGTCCAGATAAACACACATTCTTCAAGCATAGAATGAACAAATATAATGAACAAAGAAATTTGTGTGTGAAGCAATTTTTTTCCAAAAAATAATGAAGCTGCAGAAATACAATTTTGGCTTATTATGAAATGAAGAAATGTTAATCTTACACTGGATAATTGGTAATATTTTGCTTATATATATATATATATATATATATATATATATATATATATATATATATATATATATATATATATATATATATATATATATATATATATATATATTAGAATCAATAATATTTAGTCCATATTTGCACTGAAAACAGTAAAAGCTTGCCAAAGCATTTCTGCAACTTCAGTATCATAGAACAAATTTGGCTTATATTAAGAATCAATATAGGCCTATGTCACGAGACAACGTTAGACCTATGTCAAGAAAATGGCACCAGCACAGTATACACGATCTCACGTGACAGCTGTCATCATGACTTGACGCCTGTCAGCGCCCATACTAGTGACTCCTTACTACAATCACTCAAGTTAACCCACCAAAGCTGTGTGAAGTATATAATTGAGTCACAAGAACTTGGGAGTACACGAGGATGAGTGCGTTGTGTCGGCAGCTGTCAAGTGAGGCTTGGTGTGCGTGGTAAGGTGTGTGTGGTAGGGTGGTCTGGAGTAGCCTAGCGCAAGCCTAGGGAGACTCACCTCTAGAATATATGCCATTTCTATACCTCTTCATCAGTCAAACTAAACCTTATTATTGTTATTGGGTCTTTAATTACGTTTGATATCTATAGAATTGTATTCACATATAGACAATTACATATTATTTTTGACCAAATAGGGTTAATGTCAATTTTCCCCCGGTGATAATATATATAAACTTACCTGCATTTAACGCGACAAGATCCTATAGGAAACTAACAAAGTTAGATTAAGAGGCGTGTTTCCTAGGCCTCCCAGCCAGGCCTCCCAGCCAGGCCTCCCAGCCAGGCCTCCCAGCCAGGCCTCCCAGCCAGGCCTCCCAGCCAGGCCTCCCAGCCAGGCCTCCCAGCCAGACCTCCCAGCCAGACCTCCCAGCCAGGCCTCCCAGCCAGGCCTCCCAGCCAGGCCTCCCAGCCAGGCCTCCCAGCCAGGCCTCCCAGCCAGGCCTCCCAGCCAGGCCACACACCACACACACACACACACACACCACTGTCACCATCACACACCACAACCACCGGGATTTACCTGAGAATGAGTATCCCATGTAGCCTATACCTGAAGACCCCCGGCGGGAGAGGAAGTCCTCGGCACTGGACGACATGCGGGTGTCGTGGATCTTGACGTTGGGCACAGGAGAGAAGGGCGAGAGGGACATGTTGTCCGAGCTCAGCTGGTGACGCAGGAGGCGCTTCTCCCCGGGGCTGCTCGCTAGGCTCAGGTTGTCCAACTTCAGTTTGTTTCGCTGTTGTCTGTCGAGGGTTCGACTCTCTTAGTGGGTGGTGGTGAAGGAGGAGGAAGAAGGGGAGGGGGATGAAAGGGAATTAGGGGGAGGGGGATATCTGATTATATGGTGAATGTATGGTTTAGGAGAACTGCTTTATTAAGGACTACTAGGAGAAAATATATTTTTAAAAGTAGGACTGACATGAAACAAAAACACCTGTTTAAAAGACGTCTGACGTGAATACGAACAACAAATAACAATAGGTTCTTGTGATCTACAAGAGCTGGAGGGACTGTCTAAATGGGGGGAGGGGGGGGCTTGTTGCGTTGACAGGAGGTGTTGAGATATGTAATGAGGAGGTGTCTTAATTACAAGTAACCAGCGGAACATCAACACCCAGAACACTACCACAAGTAACGACCGAAGAGGCCAGAAAGGCGACCTACAGACATACTCACCCAGTCTGGTCGTTACTACTGGCTGTATGTTGACGTACAGAACACCATGAATGACCTTAGTGTGAAAGGAGGGAGGAGCTATAAATAATGGGGCTAATGGTGAGGGGGGGGTGTTGTTAGTGTGTCGGGGGGGGGGAAGGGGTGGGGGAGGAGCGTAATTACTTGGGGGGGGGGGCTGTTGAAAAGTTATTGAAATCTGGCTGGAGGTCGTAATGTTGTCCAACGAGGCTATTGAGAGGGAGATAGTGGGCAAGTTTGCCAGGTCATGGCCTGGTAGGATGGCAGCTTAGTGGCTGGGTGAGGGAGAGGGTGACAGCTTACTGGGTGGGTGAGGGAGAGGGTGACAGCTTACTGGGTGGGTGAGACAGAGGGTAACAGCTTATTGGGTGGGTGAGACAGGGGGGTGACAACGTAAGTGGGCGAGTGAAACATATAAGTTAAGGCTTATATCAACCTCTGTGTTGAGGTTAAGGCCTATATCAACCTCTGGAGGGTTATTAACACCACCACAATAGTTTACTGAACAATCAGCAAGTAATTATTTGCTGATTACCTGATTACCAGGACCCATGTAAACTCTCAAGAGTGTATATATATATGTACATAGAAATTAACAAGTGTATACTTTCCTGTGAACCAGGTATAGTCATTACTATTTATTAAGTAGAGTTCCCAGGTATACTCACCATGTATGGTCCCCCCCCCCACGTAGACTCACCAGACCTGGTACCCCCAGGTAAACTCACCAGGCATAGTCCCATGTACACCCACCATGGGACCAGTAGACTCACCTGTCGATATGGTCGAGCATCTCATGAATGGTCTGAAGGAGGAAGCTGAACTGCAGGAGGTTGAGAGACGGGCTGATGGTCAGAGGCAGCAGCGACGGCAGGATACGCGTCGCCAACAGGTTCACACTCAACCCGAACTTTTTCACCCCCAACATGAGGCGGTAGATGTCTGCAACCACGTGTCAATGTTTACATCCTGCCGCAACCACGTGTCAATGTTTACATTGTGCAGCTACCGCGTGTCAATGTTTACATCCTGCCGCAACCACGTGTCAATGTTTACATTGTGCCGCTACCACGTGTCAATGTTTACATCCTGCCGCAACCACGTGTCAATGTTTACATCCTGCCGCAACTGTGTGTCAATGTTTACATTGTGCCGCAACCACGTGTCAATGTTTACATTGTGCCGCTACCACGTGTCAATGTTCACATCCTACCGCAACCATGTGTCAATGTTTACATCGTGCTGCAACCACGTGTCAATGTTTACATTGTGACGCAACCACGTGTCAATGTTTACATCCTGCCGCAACCGCGTGTCAATGTTTACATCCTGCCGCAACCACGTGTCAATGTTTACATTATCCTGCAACCACCACCCACCCATCCCCCCGGTCCCCTCTCCAGTTGCCACAACGGACAGAAAGTGGTGTACTATAAGACGGGCTTCCGGGCTGCAAACTCTCCGAGAAACACTCCAGGAAATACTGCCCGCTTAACCTGAACGTGATGAGTTGAGTATAAAAAGAACATACGAGCACACATAGGAAGGTTTCCTATACACATTGAATTTGAAACTCCTATGAATTCTATGAATCACGACGTTTAAAAAAGTCAGAACACCATTCTCTTCATTATTAATTGTGAATTAAATTGACGGAATCAGCGAATTAAGCTCAATGAGAAAATCTGTTTGGTCATGTTTAACCGGGCACAGGCATAAAATATCGTCAACATACTTATACCACACTAAATTTGAGGCTAAAATCCTGGGGCCAGATTCACGAAGCAGTTACGCAAGTACTTACGAACCTGTACATCTTTTCTCAATCTTTGGCGGCTTTAGACACAATTATTAAATAGTTAATGAGCTCCGAAGCACCAGGAGGCTGTTTATAACAATAAAAACAGTTGATTGGGCACTTTTCACGCTTGTAAACTGTTTAATAAATGTAACCAAAGCCGTCAAAGACTGAGGAAAGAGGTACACGTTCGTAAGTACTTGCGTAACTGTTTCGTGAATCTGGCCCCTGGGTAAGATATTCGTTTCAAAACACTCCATGTACAAATTGCTCAAAACAGGGGAGAGGCCATTACCCATCTCCATGGCAAATGTTTGTTTATAAAACTCATTAAAGCTGAAATAGTTATCTTTAATGCACAATTTGATGAGTTCAACAATGGTGTTAGTAGGTAAAGTTCAATTATATTTAGGTAGTTGATCCCTTATGAACACTAACAGGTTCTTATGGGATCTTTTTCCCCTTTTTCGTCCCCCCTTTTATCCCTAAGTTTCATCCCCCTTACCATATGGACCAATAGGTTGTTCTTTAGGTTGTTTAAGATGCAGCTACTGGGAACAAAACGTTCCAAGTAGCACGGGCTATGGTGAGCCCGTAGGGGACTAACCTGGCGCAGGAGCGGGGCTGTAACTTGGCCAATAGGCCTTCTGCCATTGTCTTTATTCTTATGTTCTTGATGGTCAGGTGACCTGCCCTGGCGGGTATAAGGTCTATCTATCACGTTTTTTTGCCCAGCACCGCTCCTGTGCCAGGTAAGTCCACTACGGGCTCACCATAGCCCGTGCTACTTAGAACGTTTTATTCCAAGTAGCTGAATCTTAAACAACAACAACAACGTTTCCTTTTTCATTCTATTTTGCTCCGATGAAGGCGAATTGAGCCGAAAACGCGTTTAGCATTCTCTATTTTTCACGTTGTTTTTCCACATACTTGGATCAGAGTTTTTGTAACTGTTTGTGTGTGTGTGTGTGTGTGTGTGTGTGTGTGTGTGTGTGTGTGTGTGTGTGTGTGTGTGTGTGTGTGTGTGTGTGTGTGTGTGTGTGTGTGTGTGTATACAGGATAAGTGGAATTTGGCCAGAATTGCATTTCACCTTTGTAAACGCACATTAATGACACTATGTAAAAAGACCCCCGGAACACAACACTGTTGATGTAGGACAGACATAAATGTGTTTACTAGTTGTGTTTTTGCGGGGGTTGAGCTTTGCTCTTTCGGCAAAGCTCAACCTTGCTGATAAATGGCAAAGCTTGCTGGCAAAGCTCAAAGCTGATAAATGTGTGTATCTATGTACGTAGGTTAGATAAGCATTATAAAACTACTACAATCACCTTCTGTGGTTGACTGTTCAATAAATCACTGAACTATATGTTTAACAGATCCCTAACCCTGTCCATGGATGACAGAAGCCAATGTATATATATTCTGGTTAGCATTGTAAATGTCTGGCCACGTCTGTGGCACAATTTTTTTCCCCTCCAGCGCTGACAATAACGCAGCCTCCTACGCTACACATGGTTGCCATGGCGACGGACCTAAACAACACCAACACATATCTCTGACAAAGATTTCCATGTGTTACTCAAGCTTCAGAACAATTGGCTTTGTATCGCCTCCCTGTCGATAAGCAAAATAGTGACAGAGCAATAAGTCATATATGTGCTGTCTTGTGCGAGAGCGGGTTTGCCCTGTAACCGCACCAAGCTGGCTTCAGCTTAATAACCGGACGCGTGATTATAGCCAAAAATATCTCTGGTCCTTACCTGGTTGCACTTACCTGCTAGTGCTTGCAAGAGTTGAGATTCAGCTCTTGTATCTCGCCTCTTGATCAAGGATAAATTAGTGAACAGGGTACCGTGTTCATTGTGTCCAGTTGTATCTATATTTGAAGCTGTTTACTTTTATCTGAAGCTGTGTACCTATATCTGAAGCTGTGTACTATATATCTGAAGCTGTGTACTATATATCTGAAGCTGTGTACCTATATCTGAAGCTGTGTACCATAGATCTGAAGCTGTGTATTATATATCTGAAGCTGTGTACTATATATCTGAAGCTGTGTACCATATATCTGAAGCTGTGTACCATATATCTGAAGCTGTGTACCTATATCTGAAGCTGTGTACTATATATCTGAAACTGTGTACCATATATCTGAAGCTGTGTACATATATCTGAAGCTGTGTACCATATATCTGAAGTTGTGTACATATATCTGAAGCTGTGGATCTTTTGAAGCTGTGTATTGATAGTCCTTCTCCAACAGTTAAATTGTTTGTGAATTTTTTTTATTCACTATTATGACTTATTCATAATATTCCCATGGCTCACTTGGGTGCTTTGATTCCACCCCTACCAAATAGTCGACATTTGCTGGACATTTCCGTTGAGTATTTTGTATGTGGAGATCATGTCCAGTCCGTGAAGTTTATTTTATGAGTGTTTCCCCTCTCAGCTCACATGTCTCAGCTGAGACGACACGTGTTGTAGAGAGGGTAAAACGTTTCCCGGGAGAGTTTAAATAACGTAGTATGAACTTAAAAATAAATCCTGTCGAAAATTGTATTATTTTATAAAGATTATATTTTTTTAAGAGCGTGGCCTGTGAGGGGGGACTCACTCTCACTCACTCACTCTCTCTCTCTCTCTCTCTCTCTCTCTCTCTCTCTCTCTCTCTCTCTCTCTCTCTCTCTCTCTCTCTGTTACCTCATCTTCTCTACCTTCTCCTCCTCCTCTGCCCGTCACTGACTAATTAATAATGGTGGGAATAATGGGTGATTAATCTCCTTGTAAGTCAACCCGTTATTACTCCAGACACCAATATTACCCACACGACCATTATTGTCCCGATGGCTGAGATGACGCCACCCTCCCCCCCCCCCCGGGCAACCCTCTCTCAACGTCTTAATTGTGCACTGTTAATCATCTCTCTCTCTGTCTCTCTCTCTCTCTCTGTCCCCCCCCCTCTCTCTCTCTCTCTCTCTCTCTCTCTCTGTTATAGTTCCTTGGGGACTGCCTCAAGGAAAGCTCAAACAATGACGTTCTGCTCTTTCAAGAGAGCCTTCTTGTTTGTATATTCTCAGACGCCGTGAGAAAAATGTTGTTGTCTTGCCTTGATATTGAGATCGTTGAAGCTGAGTGGCATAATGCCATGATCGACATTTGTCTCTCTCGAGACGTTGCGTGTGGTGTGGGAAAGCTTCTCCCACACCAAACAACCCATTTGGCTGACAACCCAGTTGGCTGACAGACAATATTGCTAACATGCCATATTAATCAATTATGCAAGACAGGTTAAGGTGTGAACTTGCATTGTTAGGGACAGGAAGCCTGCGTGGTGTCTCGAGGTCCTCCCAGGACAAGGCCAACCACTGACCTTCTTGGGATGCAAGCCACAACAGTTGTCTAACTCCAGGGGTACCTATATTTACTGCTAGGTGAACAGAGGCACCAGGCGACAGGAAATGCGCAAAACGTCTCGTTCTATCGCGGGAATCGAACACGGGGACCAATGGATCATGAGCCGACAAACCTAACCACTGTAAGGCAGCCTCTGGGATCCTCTGGGGCGTAGGTTCGAACCCTCGTCACGGCCCTTGTGCATCTGTTCATTAACTGTGCCATGAGTGGTCAGGTTTCAAGACCTGTACCTTACCGCTGGCGTCTCATGTTCCTTAACCCCCTGGAAGTGCCCAATCAACTCACCCCAGGTGCGCAAAAATGTTACTTTACTGTACTTCAAAAGTTGTCGTCTTCCCCCCATGTAGCCCCCCCCCCTCCATGTTTACCGTCTTGAGAGCATCAATAACAAGACGTGTCTGTAGAATCCCACATCCTAAAGTGATGAGACATAATACAATCTCCCTGTAAACTACACTGTATCTTAGAGTAATGATATTCTACACAACCATTTAGTAACTCATGTGTCAAGCCCCGACACCGGAAGCAAGAAAGCGCTGATGACCAGACCACACACTAGAAATTGAAGAGACGACGACGTTTCGGTCCGTCCTGGACCATTCTCAAGTCGATTGTGAGAATGAGATTGTGAGACAATCGACTTGAGAATGGTCCAGGACGGACCGAAACGTCGTCGTCTCTTCAATTTCTAGTGTGTGGTCTGGTCATCATACTTCAGCCACGTTATTGTGACTCATCGCCTCCAAGAAAGCGCTCCCTGTGTGCTTAGCCAAAACAAAACAAAAAGGTAGGATTATTACGTACTTACAACCTTGACAGTGACATCAGCGTCCTGCAGCTTCACGTCGCTGAGGATAGGCAGGACGTCGTCGATGATGGCGGAGCGCTCCAGCTTGTCGAGGATGCGTTCTATGCAGCCCAAGACGGTGAGGCAGAGAGCCACGTCCGTCGGGTTCTTCTCGTAGATGGCCTTCGTGCGCGGCAAGACTGTCTTCTTGATGGCTTCGGAGTCCAGATACTCTGCGGCGTTGGTCGCGGCTACCACCGCCGCCACCTGCGACACGGAGAGGCCGCTGGCTGAGTGTGTACTCATCTATTTGTGCTTGCGGGGGTTGAGCTTTGGCTCTTTGGTCCCGCCTCTCAACTGTCAATCAACTGGTGTACAGGTTCCTGAGCCTACTGGGCTCTATCATATCTACATTTAAAATTGTGTATGGAGTCAGCCTCCAATTGGCGGTGTGTGTGTGTACTCACCTATATGTACTCACCTATATGTGCTTGCAGGATCGAGCATTGACTCTTGGATCCCGCCTTTCTAGCTATCGGTTGTTTACAGCAATGACTCCTGTCCCATTTCCCTATCATACCTAGTACCTAGTACACACATACCTAGTGTGTGTGTGTGTGTGTGTGTGTGTGTGTGTGTGTGTGTGTGTGTGTGTGTGTGTGTGTGTGTGTGTGTGTGTGTGTGTACTCACCTAGTTGTACTCACCTAGTTGTGTTTGCGGGGGTTGAGCTCTGGCTCTTTGGTCCCGCCTCTCAACCGTCAATCATCAGGTGACGAACTGAACTATATGTTTAACACACACACAAAATGTGTGTGTGTGTGTGTGTGTGTGTGTGTGTGTGTGTGTGTGTGTGTGTGTGTGTGTGTGTGTGTAAAATCTGGTAATCGGGGAGATATTTTGTACCTCCATAACTGTGTTTGAGGGGCTCAAGGGTTTAGCTCCTGGGCACCAGTCTTCAAGGCTTGGGCGTCATCACACCTAGTGTTAGGATACATGTATAGAACCAGTCTGGACCGTCTCTGTCTGACAGCCGTCTATTTTCTCACAACTCTGACAACATTCTCCGCAATTTCCGTCTCTTTCATTTGCGTATTGAGGTCACACGTGCCCTCAGGTCACACGTGCCCTCAGGTCACACGTGCCCTCAGGTCACACGTGCCCTCAGGTCACACGTGCCCTCAGGTCACACGTGCCCTCAGGTCACACGTGCCCTCAGGTCACACGTGCCCTCAGGTCACACGTGCCCTCAGGTTACACGTGCCCTCAGGTCACACGTGCCCTCAGGTCACACGTGCCCTCAGGTCACACGTGCCCTCAGGTCACACGTGCCCTCAGGTCACAGGCAAGCATGGCTGATAACGTCTGTCTTTGTCCACACCCGGAGTACTTTGTAGGTAGTGATCATGTCACATCTAATACGATTTATATGAGTTTAGTGAAGCAGGTCTGGTGTAATGTTAAATATTTAGAGGTGCTAGTTGCTTTCTCATTTTTTTTTCTCTCTCTCTCTTTCTCTCTCTCTCTCTCTCTCTCTCTCTCTCTCTCTCTCTCTCTCTCTCTCTCTCTCTCTCTCTCTCTCTCTCTCTCTCTCTCTCTCTCTCTCTCTCTCTCTCTCTCTCTCCCTGCCACTGGCTGCGGCCTGGGGTGAGCCCCAGGGGAGGCCAGTAACAGGCGCCCTCCATCAGTCATGGGACGTTTAGAGCCAAATAACTTCTGCTAACATCCTGGTGTGACGCTACCAGTGCTGGGAGGGGGATGTGGGAGAGGGGAGTGAGCAGGTGTGGGAGAGGGGAGTGAAAATACACAACTGTTTACTTCCGGCTCTACAGGTGTAGACAACACTTCCGCCTGTACAGGTGTAGACAACACTTCCGCCTCTACAGGTGTAGACAACACTTCCGTTTCGACAAGTGTACAACAACAAAATTCAATTAAAAGTGACGCACACCAAAATGAAACTATTTCATTTTTGACAGTTACCATAAACCTGTTGACGGGCAGCGGGTAATAATTTTAAAACTGTATAGTGGGGGGGGGGGGGGAGGGGGGGAGAGGGAACCCCCAGTAATGGGTATTAAAATGGTCAGGATTAAGGTAAATAGGGAAATGTGCAAGGTAATCTACACATGACCCTTCTGCCGGAGCTGGGTAAGCTATGTGTGTGTGTGTGTGTGTGTGTGTGTGTGTGTGTGTGTGTGTGTGTGTGTGTGTGTGTGTACTATATACACCTCTGTAATGATCTTAGGACATTTTATAGCACCTTCATACTACTATACACCCACACACACTCCCCCACCTACACCCACACACACTCCCCCACCTACACCCACACACTCCCCCCACCTACACCCACACCCCCCCCACCTACACCCACACACCCCGCACCTACACCCACACACCCCCCACCTACACCCACACACTCCCCACCTATACACCCACACACTCCCCACCTACACCCACACACACTCCCCCACCTACACCCACACACTCCCCCCACCTACACCCACACCCCCCCCACCTACACCCACACACACTCCCCACCTACACCCACACACACTCCCCACCTACACCCACACACACTCCCCACCTACACCCACACACACTCCCCACCTACACCCACACACACTCCCCACCAACACCCACACACACACCCCACCTACACCCACACACACACCCCACCAACACCCACACACACACCCCACCTACACCCACACACACTCCCCACCTACACCCACACACACTCCCCCACCTACACCCACACACACTCCCCACCTACACCCCCACACACACTCCCCACCAACACCCACACACACTCCCCACCTACACCCACACACACTCCCCACCTACACCCACACACACTCCCCACCTACACCCACACACACTCCCCACCTACACCCACACACACTCCCCCACCTACACCCACACACTCCCCACCTACACCCACTGGCGTCACGTACCTGCACCTGGACAGTAGAGGCCTCCAGACCGGAGTAGATGATGGGAAGAATGTCGGTGGCGATGTCCTCCTGTGGCGTCTTATCCAGGATAATGTGAATGTTCTCCAGGAGGGTGACGGAGGCCTGGATGCTCTTGGGCAGGTTGAACACCACTCTAGCGGCGGGAAAGACAAACACACACGTCACTCGGGTTGATGAATTGATTATGGAGACCAGACTACACACTAGAAGGTGAAGGGATGACGACGTTTCGGTCTTGTTATCTTGAGGTTATCTTGAGATGATTTCGGGGCTTTTTTTTTTAGTGTCCCCGCGGCCCGGTCCTCGACCAGGCCTCCACCCCCAGGAAGCAGCCCGTGACAGCTGACTAACACCCAGGTACCTATTTTACTGCTAGGTAACAGGGGCATAGGGTGAAAGAAACTCCGCCCATTGTTTCTCGCCGGCAGCTGGGATCGAACCCATTACCACAGGATCACAAGTCTCGCGTGCTGTCTGCTCGGCCGACCGGCTCCAGTCCTGGACCATTTTCAAGTCGATTGTCAATCGACTTGACTTGAATCGACAATCGACTTGAGAATGGTCCAGGACGGACCGAAACGTCGTCGTCCCTTCACCTTCTAGTGTGTGGTCTGGTCGACATACTTCAACCACGTTATTGTGACTCATCGTCTGCAATTGATTATCGATTTCTATGGCGTCCCCTACAGTGTTTACAATGATTAAACCATACAACATTAGACTATGTAAACATTATGTTTTCTACAGGTTTAGACTACTTTATATATATATATATATATATATATATATATATATATATACACACAAACGCAGAACGTGTTACAAGTTGCGGAAAATGCTTCTCAGGCTGGACAGAAGATGAGTAGGGAGAGAAACTCACCCCCCATCTCCCCCCATCTCGACACCCACAGGGCCAACCACTACAGTAGCATCAATCACTCTGCACCCCCATCCATTCAACCCCTTCTAACCCCCCCCCCTCACTCTAACTGACCTGAGGCCCATAATCCAAAACCTTTAGTCCACAGCTTCCAGCTCCTGCCACCACCACCAATCAATCAATTATCAATCAATCATTGATCATCAATCAATCAGGAGACGCTAGAAAACGTGGGCGCCGGAGCACCTTTACAGATTTAAGGTACCGATTTACTGCTAGGTGAACTGGGGCATCAGGGTGAAAGAAACTCTGCCCATTTGTTTCCGCCTTCGCCAGGGATCGATCCCCGGACCCCTAAGACTACTAATCCCGACCGCTGTCCATTCAGCCGTCAGGCGTCTAACCGCTGAGTTAGGTGTGTGTGTGTTTGTACTCACCTATTTGTGCTTGAGGGGGTTGAGCTTTGGCTCTTTGGTCCCGCCTCTCAACCGTCAATCAACTGGTGTACAGGCTCCTGAGCCTACTGGGGTCTGTCGTATCTACATTTGAAACTGTGTATGGAGTCAGCCTCCACCACATCACTGCCTAATGCATTCCACCTGTTAAGTACTCTGACACTGAAAAAGTTCTTTCTAACGTCCCTGTGGCTCATGTGGGTACTCAGTCTCCACCTGTGTGTGTGGTGTGTGTGTGTGTGTGTGTGTGTGTGTGTGTGTGTGTGTGTGTGTGTGTGTGTGTGTGTGTGTGTGTGTGTGTGATGAATGTTTCCAATACACATCTTTCGTTTATTTCAATTATTATTTATAATTTTTCCCGTCAAGCTTCTCTTTCTGCATGTCCATTTCTCCCTCTCTTTCACCCCTCCATCCTCTCCTCCCCCTCCCTCCCCCCTACGCCCATACCCCCCCCAAATCCCACGTCCCCTCCCCCCCCCCCCACCTCCCGTGTACCAGAGCAGTATTCATATATTCAAAGCCTCTCCGCGCAGTAGTTTCTCTCCCACGGTTACCCGCTCTCCCTAATGGAGCCTTCGGCTGCTTCTCTCTCTCTCTCTCTCTCTCTCTCTCTCTCTCTCTCTCTCTCCCTTTTTCTCTCACCAAGGGTTCGAACCTAGGCGGGCACAGTTGTCCCACTGGCTAATGGCCTTTGTGTCGTGAGGCCGTCGTACCTGAAGTGCGGGAGGACGATGTTCTCGTACTCGTCCGTCGACACGTCGGAGATGAGCTGCAGGATGGGCTGGAGGACAGCAGCTAGAACCTCCTGCGTCCGCATCTCCTGCTGCAGCGACGGCCAGACGTGCAGGAACCACAGTTTCTGCAATGAAAACGGAGATTAACGGTAAAGCCGAAGTCAAAGTCGGTACAGGGCACTCGAACACACGATGTGAGAGGGTGGCGGGTGTGCTGAAAAGATTTTCCCGCGCTTATTTACGCGGGAAAGTTAAGCTAAATCATTTACTAGTTGTATTTAATAAACAAAATATAATAGTTCTCTTACCAAAAAATATTAAATGGAAAATCATAAAATCCAAAATTGCATGCACACAAAAATGTAAATAAAATATAGTAAAAAATATGAAGTTAAAAAGTTCAGTGCTGTATATACAAAAATTTACTCCAACCCGGAAACTTTTCTGCACTCAAAAGTGAGCTGAAAATTAAACGACAAAAAGCATTTTGTCCCAGAAGGTTTGTATATATATGTGTATATATTTTCAATTCTTCTTCCATGGTCTGACACTGTCATATATATATATATATATATATATATATATATATATATATATATATATATATATATATATATATATATATATATATATATATATATATATATATTGGTGTATACTGGCAGCAGGTTTTCTTTCAAACATGTTTCATTGAATATGACCGCATATTCTGTATTTATTATTTTCTGGTTTAGGGCTTCTATCCCTCTAACTATTTTCTTAGCATCAGGGCTTAATTGGAATAGGAGTTCTCCAAAACTCATTTTCGTACTTTTAAGGTGAAGAAAAGAAGTGATTTACTATAGAGTGTATTACACTTATTTGTATAATTTGCACGACGTTTCGAACCTCCATGGTTCATTCTCAAGTGAACAATCTTACAACACTAGTTGATTTTATACCCGCATTAGGTCAGGTGATAATACAATGAAGGTGAAAAACATGGGGGGATACATAAGGGATAAACATAGGGGCTGCAGAAGGCTTATTGGCCCATACGAGGCATCTCCTATCTAAACACAAAGATTAATCCAGTGTAATTGGCCTGTTATGTTGGACATTGTCTTCTGTGTTGGCATCGATATGTTCTTGTCTTGTCCTTACTCTCATGGTGGGTAGAGTAAATAGTTCCGTGATTTGGGTGTTCATGGTAGGTCGCTCTATTCTTATGTGAATTGCCTCAAGAATTTGTAATCTTCTTGAATCTTGGGTTTTATCTATTATGCAAGTATTCTTGTTCAACATTTCTCTTGTTAGAGTAATGTCATGGGCTTGTCTCATGTGATTCCTAGGGGCACCAGATTGAAGATGGCATGTCAAACGCCTCGTCAGCTTGGTCGACGTCATACCTATGTACTTACATTGAAGGTTACATCCTTCGTGGGGGCAAGTGTACATGTATACAACGCTTGACTGCTGTAGAGGGTTCTCCGTCGGCTTCGGGCTGTTTTTGATAAGGAGTTCGGAAGTCTTCTTGGTTTTGTAGAATATTATCAGGTTTATGTTTTGGTTAGGAGTAGTGCTTTTTACTCCTTTACGGATTATTTCTTTCATTATTCTTTCCTCTTTTATATGTTCACTGTGCATGGTTGATTTGTAATATAATTTTATTGGGGGTGTTGTGGTTTCTGTTCTAGGTTCTGAATTATACCAACGGTCCAAGTGTCTTCTTATAGCAGCGTTTATTTCCGCGTTGCTATATCCGTTGTTCACCAATACCTGAGTTACTCTTTCAAACTCTCTACTCACGTTGCTCCATTCAGAGCAGTGGGTAAGCGCTCGACGAATATAAGCATTGAGAACACTGGCTTTGTATCTTTGGGGGCACTCACTTCTACCGTTCAGGCATAATCCTATGTTGGTGGGCTTGGTATATACGTTGGTGCTTAAAGAGGTTCCTGTTTTTGTTATTAGTACATCCAAGAATGGCAGACTGTTATTTTCACTATTTTCATGTGTAAATCGGAGTACTGACTCTCTCTCTAGGTGTCTTTTTAGGTCAATTAGTTCATCTGAGTCTTTTACTATTACGAATATGTCATCTACATAACGGCAGTATACAGTTGGTTTTTGTCTGCTACTGAAGACCCTATCTTCGATGGTTCCCATATAAAAATTAGCAAATAAAACTCCTAAGGGGGAGCCCATTGCTACTCCGTCTATCTGTAAATACATGTCTCCTTGTGGACTGATGAAAGGGGCTTCCTTTGTACATGCTTCGAGAAGACTTTTCAAGTGTGGCTCAGGTATGTCTAATTTGGGGGTGCTCTCGTCTCTGTATACTCTGTCCAGTATCATTCCTATGGTTGTGTCGACTGGGACGTTGGTAAAAAGGGATTCAACGTCCAGGGAAGCGATGATTCCATCGGGCTGGGTAGATTTGATCAATTCTAGGAAATCTGCTGATGATTGTAGACTAAACTTACTTGGAGTGTATGGAGTTAGGAGTTCATTGAGTTTTTTTTGCCAGGTGATAAGTTGGGGTTGGTATTTGGCTGATTATAGGGCGTAGTGGGTTACCTGGTTTATGCGTCTTAACATTGCCGTAGGCATATCCTAAGCCATAGTCGCCTTGAAGTTTATTGAAATGCACACTACCTTTCTTTGCGTTGATTGCTGTAATTGTTTTGTTTACTTTCCGCTTAAGGTCTTCTACGGGGTTCCTCGTGATTCGTTGAAATTTGGAGTCGTCACTTAGGATGTCGCTAATTTTGTTCATGTATTCATGGGTAGGAATCAATACATATGCTGCTGTTTTGTCGGCTTTTCTTATTGTTACGTCTTTCAGATTTTTTAGTTGTTTCGCTGCTTCTTTGAGTCGTGGGGTTAAGATTGTAGATGAATATGTTCCTCGTTCCTCGTTAGAAACCACAACACCCCCAATAAAATTATATTACAAATCAACCATGCACAGTGAACATATAAAAGAGGAAAGAATAATGAAAGAAATAATCCGTAAAGGAGTAAAAAGCACTACTCCTAACCAAAACATAAACCTGATAATATTCTACAAAACCAAGAAGACTTCCGAACTCATTATCAAAAACAGCCCGAAGCCGACGGAGAACCCTCTACAGCAGTCAAGCGTTGTATACATGTACACTTGCCCCCACGAAGGATGTAACCTTCAATGTAAGTACATAGGTATGACGTCGACCAAGCTGACGAGGCGTTTGACATGCCATCTTCAATCTGGTGCCCCTAGGAATCACATGAGACAAGCCCATGACATTACTCTAACAAGAGAAATGTTGAACAAGAATACTTGCATAATAGATAAAACCCAAGATTCAAGAAGATTACAAATTCTTGAGGCAATTCACATAAGAATAGAGCGACCTACCATGAACACCCAAATCACGGAACTATTTACTCTACCCACCATGAGAGTAAGGACAAGACAAGAACATATCGATGCCAACACAGAAGACAATGTCCAACATAACAGGCCAATTACACTGGATTAATCTTTGTGTTTAGATAGGAGATGCCTCGTATGGGCCAATAAGCCTTCTGCAGCCCCTATGTTTATCCCTTATGTATCCCCCCATGTTTTTCACCTTCATTGTATTATCACCTGACCTAATGCGGGTATAAAATCAACTAGTATTGTAAGATTGTTCACTTGAGAATGAACCATGGAGGTTCGAAACGTCGTGCAAATTATACAAATAAGTGTAATACACTCTATAGTAAATCACTTCTTTTCTTCACCTTAAAAGTACGAAAATGAGTTTTGGAGAACTCCTATTCCAATTAAGCCCTGATGCTAAGAAAATAGTTAGAGGGATAGAAGCCCTAAACCAGAAAATAATAAATACAGAATATGCGGTCATATTCAATGAAACATGTTTGAAAGAAAACCTGCTGCCAGTATACACCAATATAAACCCACATGACCCAGCAGTCCGCAATACAGAGTTTACCTATAGGTATAGGCAAGAGCTCATTCGGCATCAACTAAACAAGAAGAAGGAAGCCCTCCAAACCTTTATAGAGCAGGCGGAGCATCTGTTAAACAAATGGACCCAGTACGACATCCCAATCCAACTCAAGCAAACCATCAACAGTGAACTATTTAACCTGAAACAACAACATAAAACTCTTGTAGAAACAAAGACACTCCGTAAGTTAACATCCCTAAACGGTGGACAGCTAAAAATCCCTCGTCCTAAAGATGGCTACTTTAACCTGACTTCTTATGATCTTACCCAGGACCAACGAGACCTCTTAAATCTTGGTCTAAATTGTCAATTCTTATCTAAACCAAAGATGCATCAAAAACGCCTGGAAATCGAAATGCTTCTGGACGATATCCATAAGCTAGAAGACAACAAAAAAGTCATCACCACGGACACACTTCAAGCTGAACTACTTGCAGAAGCAGGGAAAAAACGAGGAACATATTCATCTACAATCTTAACCCCACGACTCAAAGAAGCAGCGAAACAACTAAAAAATCTGAAAGACGTAACAATAAGAAAAGCCGACAAAACAGCAGCATATGTATTGATTCCTACCCATGAATACATGAACAAAATTAGCGACATCCTAAGTGACGACTCCAAATTTCAACGAATCACGAGGAACCCCGTAGAAGACCTTAAGCGGAAAGTAAACAAAACAATTACAGCAATCAACGCAAAGAAAGGTAGTGTGCATTTCAATAAACTTCAAGGCGACTATGGCTTAGGATATGCCTACGGCAATGTTAAGACGCATAAACCAGGTAACCCACTACGCCCTATAATCAGCCAAATACCAACCCCAACTTATCACCTGGCAAAAAAACTCAATGAACTCCTAACTCCATACACTCCAAGTAAGTTTAGTCTACAATCATCAGCAGATTTCCTAGAATTGATCAAATCTACCCAGCCCGATGGAATCATCGCTTCCCTGGACGTTGAATCCCTTTTTACCAACGTCCCAGTCGACACAACCATAGGAATGACACTGGACAGAGTATACAGAGACGAGAGCACCCCCAAATTAGACATACCTGAGCCACACTTGAAAAGTCTTCTCGAAGCATGTACAAAGGAAGCCCCTTTCATCAGTCCACAAGGAGACATGTATTTACAGATAGACGGAGTAGCAATGGGCTCCCC